CGCTAGCCTATGTAGTAGAGTCAGTGAATGACTCAGACTGAGTACTGACTGAGTACGCCTCTGCCGTTTGGGACACAATTTCAATGTGAGCCGCCCGTGGCTGCTGATGACGTCATTTAATGACGTCACGGGCCGGTGGCGCCCCCGGCTGCTGTGATTCTTCCCGGCGGGACGATCGGAATTAATAGGGACGTCAGAGGGCAAACTTGGTCGGCACAAATGTCCTACGGGAAACCGGCGTCAGGGGACATAGATAGGGGAGAGAGAAAGAGAGAGAGGGAGAGAGACAGAGAGAGAGAGAGAGAGAGAGAGAGAGAGAGAGAGAGAGAGAGAGAGAGAGAGAGAGAGAGAGAGAGAGAGGAGAGAGAGAGAGAGAGAGAGAGAGAGAGAGAGAGAGAGAGAGAGAGAGAGAGAGAGAGAGAGAGAGAGAGAGAGAGAGAGAGAGAGAGAGAGAGAGAGAGAGAGAGAGAGAGAGAGAGAGAGAGAGAGAGAGAGGAGAGAGAGCGGCAACAGACAGGATCATCGATGTAAAATGCTGATATATTATAAACAAGAATACAGAGCAAAAAAAAAAAAAAAAAAAACAACAACAACATAGGGCGATATAAGTACGGAAATAAAATGAAATGTACAATCAAGGTTTTGAGTAGTCACAAAATATAAAGACTTATGACGTAATTTGCATACTCATTATCACTCCTTTTTACAAGAGGTGTTTTCCAGAGAGGTGTTTTCCAGAGACTGAGTGGCTATGATTTTGATGAAGCGCACCTCATCACCACTTCGTGGACGCGTCTATTAAATGAATAGCTCAAATAAATGAATGAGTTCTTCTTTGCATATGACACATCATTTTTCTTACTTCTAGGTACCTCCTTCACTCCACAATTTTACCGACTATCCAGAGACCCCATTTCTCAATGCTTTCAGTCTAATGCCTCGTCATTGTCGCCGAAATTATAATTTGCCTTGATCAATGAGCCAGTATCCTCATCTAATTACCTAAGCCGCAGACTTCTTGCCCAATATCAGCCTCCATTTCACATTTATAATCAGCTCTCCGGGCGCGGGCGCAAGCTCCAGAGCCCTGCGTTTTATCAGCGCTGCCTTTTTGGATGCGTTGGCGGCATAGAGCACGTGCACTCATCCTCTCCCCTGCTCCGCACTCTGGCACCGCAATCAATCATCGAGCGCCGGCCGCGGTGTCGAATTTTAATTTGGGGTTAATTTTCCCACCACCGGCCACAAAAGCGGCGCTCCTGTTTGGCATTTTCGCCAGCCAGTGGCGGATGCAGATAGGGCTCCCCTAAAAATCACCGGAAATTACTGGCGAACACTCGCCAACACCGAAATCAGACACGATTTTAGCACGGGAGATCACATCCGGTTCGATGAGATCCCCTCCGACACTCTCGAGTGACCCCCCTGATTGTCTTCCTGGCGGCGCCCGTGCGCGCCGCGTCGATGCGGCGAGTTTTATATTAGATCCTGGCTGGTGTTGGATGACGCCGGCGTGGCGTTTTGACAGTTCATCGCCGCCGCTTTGTCGACGAAATATGGCGCGGTGCGCCGCATTAGTGCCGCAGCACCGAGAGGCAATCCCTGCGGAGGTGCGACGTGCGGCGGCGCGGCGAATTTGGCGCAGACATCCATCATCGCGCTGTGCAGAGCTGATGATGTCTGCCGCCGAGGGGGAGGGGGGGGGGGTGACGGGGGGGATACAAGACAAAGGGCACAGGGATTGTGGAGTTTAGGTGGACAGAATTATCTATTTCGCCAAACCCGAATAAGAGGTCTTTATATTTTTTTTTAGCGAAAACTTTTTATCGGTAACCGTTTTTCGCTTAACCACTCCTGTTATAACCAAACATATTCAATGTAGCCGGAGTAAAACCACTAGTTACGGAAAACTAACCTCAAATGTCGTGTACCCGACCGCACGTTCTCAACACCTAGACCTTAACACCGCAATATTTTCCCCTTAATGCGTCATCATTACCACCACAGAATATCCGGACCTCCCAGGAAACTTCCGTCTCACCTGCGGGGCACCACCCGTCCAGAACCAATGACGTCATAAACCCTGAGGCCAACCGCCGGCCTCCGGCGTTGATTTCGGTCAGCCTTGACCAATGCCGCAGCGAAGGCACCTCAGAAGCGGCCGGCACGTGGGATAAAGAGTATAAATCCAACCTCTCAGTTGCACCGACAAGACAGGTTGACAGATAAATGCCCCCGATTTGACAGCAATTTGTCATCGGAATCGTTTGTGTCGGCATCAGGGCGGGGAGAGGGGCGGAAGGGACGGTGGCAGAGGAGGGGAGGGTCCCCCGTTCAGAGGTCACGGGTGGCGGGCAGTGGGACGGACCGCCGCTGGCTGCGGTCCGGCGAACAGCGCTCGAGGGCAGCGGTCCGAGCAGTGATAACTCAGCGCAGAACAGGGCGGCGTTGTTAGAGACCACACACCGCCGGCCATCTGAGCGCGACGGCCGACAGCGAATTTAGCTCTACCAGTTGGCCCGAAATAGGTCCTTCCAAAAGAGCTGCACTTAGAGCAGCCCATCCTTCAACAAAACGGATCAGAAAGGAAAAAGTCAATGAGAGACTCCTTACGAGGTGTTCCAGTCCTCGGGGCAGCCCCAGGCCCAGTTGAAGCCTCTGATTCCCGAACCCCCGAGCTCATGCGACACCTAGCGACAGTACCGTGAACCTTCGACTCTCCTTTTACACAAGTGGCAGCACCATCGCACCTGCCGCGGCGGCAGACCCCAGAGGTCGCTCCACTGACGGCCCTGGGACGCATCGGACCACATAGGTAGCGACGGGCCGTCGCGTCTCCACCGGTCCATCGTTTGCTACGGTTATCAATGGATTAATGACGCTCCCATTCTGCTCAGACCGGAGGAATGTTTATGAATCTCGATCGCCGCACAGAGGAGCGCCAAGTTATCAGGGAGCCTAACAAAGTGTCTAGTCGTGCTGGGCTCGGGACGGGCTCTCAAAGCCTGAACTAACACCACTGGGGAATGCATTGAGCTGGTAGGATATCTAAACATCCCAGGAATGTGATTAGACTGGATTCATGATGTTATTAATGTTTTTGGGGTGGTCCGCGCCTGTCCAATTTAGAACGATGTCTGAAGGAGCGAATGGTAAATGAAAGTCAACAAATTTACATTTTTTTACTTGGAAATTCTAAGCCCTGCAGGTTGAATGAGAGTCTTGCATCACATGGTGAACTGGCATAAGCAGATAGGAATTTCCCAATTTCAACTGACATATGGCGGCTGGGGTAATGCGCAGCAAGACAACAGATGGCTAACTGGATTGAAAATGCCTCTGTTACTGTCTCTGCTCTTCGCCATATTTCGTCTGTTCGTCTCTCTGCAGTTTATCTGTCTGTATGGCAGTCTGTATGACAGTCTGTCTGCAGTCTGTCAGTATGGCAGTCTGCCTAGGGTGCAGGACTTGAGACGGATGTAGTTGCACCATTCATACATAAAAACCGCTTAAGGTGATGCAATAGGAAATCAGGACACATGATTAACGTTCATATGCAGAAACACTAACAGCTGATGGAAATCTCCCGGATGCAGGACAGGGGACACCCGTTTATAAGACTCATAAACAGCTATAAATATCGCATATTCATGCAGTAATACGATGCCCCTCAATCATAAGTGCATGGCTAAACTGGTGGCAGCAGGGTGCGCTATATTTACAGGTGCTCATCTTCTAAAAGCTGTGAATGTGAAGGTGAATCCTATACGGTGCACACAGTGAGCAATGAGTGAACAAACAGTGAAACATCAGTGCACGGGCGGTGCTCTACGACACAGTGCCACATTTGGGTCATAAACGGGCATAGCATGACTTAAATCAATGTTCTATCAGACATCCAAAACATTTGAACTAACTTACGGAGAGATATGAATTTAACAGATTTTATTTCACAAATAAAACGTTATAGCAATGAGCAAAGATACAAAAACTGCAAAACAAATGCAATAAAAGCAAGCAAGCATCGATAAGCGAAAGGTCAACGACCTTTGTATATTCGCAATGAAAAAGAAACACGAGTTAAGTCAGCTTCCGGAAGTGCAGTCCTAACCAGCGATGAAGATGTCACGAGCTTATTAATTATTCCGACACCACGCGGACAAATCTTGTAGTCATATTGAAACAATCCATCAAGGCAGACCATTTTGTTTAGCCGGTCTGAACACCTGTTAACGTTTATGTTTGAGTCGTGTCGATGGCCTGTTAGACACTGAATGCTGAATAGGACTCACTGAATATTACTCCAAATAAGTAGTCCGTGGATCCAACATCTGCCATGTTCATACGTTGACCCAAATGTGACTCTGCACTAGCATGCAACGTTCGAAACAAATACACTCGAGGGAAAACACCAAGCTTTAATTTCATAATAAGTTAGCGTTAATATCATCGATAATACGGTATGAAAAAGAGAATGGAGAGTGCCTGTTTTTTGTCCTCCTTATTTCATAATGTTTGCAAGCACAATAGGCTCCTCTTTAGTTTATCTTATGTTTATGCAAATGAAATAGAAGCCTACATGATTGTATCACTATAGAGTTTCCCCTCGAGTGTCACACATTTAGACGGACCGGTGCAGACGGGTACCGGGTTTCACCGACCACAGCTGGACCGAGACGGACACTACAACGGCGCCTAGGAGCAAACCATTGAAACCATCAAACCAAACAATATTTTAGCTTGAATAAAATATGCAGAAAAAACGAAGTCAACAACCAAAATTTCTGCAAAAATACATGTCTATGAAATGCTTACTTGTTGAAACCTATGAAAATGACAGAGGTAAAGAAAATTTAAACTTTGAAAAACAGAAATCAGCCAAAAATTAATAGTCGCGCGCTGTAATCTACCCCGGCGCCTCTGTCCGTCTGTCTGCTGCCCGCTGTGTGTGTGTCGGCTCCACCCCTCCCCGTCGGTGAGGTGCGGTGCGGTGCACTTACCATCCTCAGTCGGAGATTGTGCGGTGCCGGTGCTCTTGATACCCTTCGTCGAAGGGTACTTACCTGAAACAACAAAACACGCGCCATTAGAAACACACTCGACACCCAAAAACACCACACGGACAAAAACAAATAACAAAACGCCGCGCACGAACAAAGACGAGCGCTGTAATCGCACCTTACTATCATTACAGCTCAATTAACCGGGCTCGCTCGCCTCCAACTGTGTGGGCAGACAAAGATAGGTCGTTTGACGAGCCATATTAAATAAATAAAGTCATTGAGATCTAGTCTCGCGGCGCCGGTTGTCCAACCCGGTTTATGTTTATAGTGCTCTGAAGTGTGTCGTTGCAGGCGCCTTGAGGGGCAGTTCCAGATGAGATATCAGAAGCTGTTTGGAGTATGGTAGGGCTATTGTGTAATGGAGAGAGAGAGAGAGAGGGAGAGAGAGAGAGAGAGAGAGAGAGAGAGAGAGAGAGAGAGAGAGAGAGAGAGAGAGAGAGAGAGAGAGAGAGAGAGAGAGAGAGAGAGAGAGAGAGAGAGAGAGAGAGAGAGAGAGAGAGAGAGAGAGAGAGCGCGCAGAAAAGGAGAGGTGGTTTATCATGCTTCGCAGGAGCAGGGCATACGTGTTTGAAAAAAAAATATTTTCGAACAGATAGCCGCATTCGGATACCTCAGCACATTCTCAGCGCTTTATCTAAAGCAAGCCATCAAACCACGGCGCGGTCTAATTAGACAACTAACACAGCTGTCTCCATCCATCATATCTCACAAACGGCACTGAAAACTGACCCCTCCTCACACCGGTCTCTCTCTCTCTCTCTCTCTCTCTCTCTCTCTCTCTCTCTCTCTCTCTCTCTCTCTCTCCCTCCCATGTCCCTCTCTCCTTCCTGAGTCCCTCTGCCCCCCCCCCCCCCCATATCCGACAGCGCGCCCCGGGAAGATGGTTATCCCGCCCCCAATTTGTCACCAGACCAGCGCGCCATCCCTCTCTCACGCGGCGCCGTCGGGGCCCTGTCACAATCTCTGTCCGTAGACAGATCACATTCCATGATCGTATCAGGCACGCGTCCCGAAATGATCGAACACTCCGAATATAGATAGTGCCTCGAGCCGCCAGCCGAGGAGCAAAATCATCACAACACGACACAGGGCAGATTATCAGCCGTGTTTAGCGTCATATCCAGCTAAATGTCCACCATTAAAACACCTCACCTGCCTGAATTATATTCCAGAAATATTTTCCCAGCCTCCCCCACCTGCCACGTCGAGTATCACCGTGAGCGACGCTAGCGCCACGCGGCGGCGGCTGGTGGAACTACGCCGCCAGCTGCCGCGAACGGAAGTGGGCCGCGGCCCGGGCCATTTTTTATCATTACCTTCATTTGGGCGGCGTTCATTAGGGACCGGGCCGGATGCGGACGCGTCGCCCCGGGCGCGGAAGTGGCCCAGGGTTGTTGTGATGTCTGGGGCGCAGCCGGACGGACGGACGGACACACCAGTTATTACGGCATGGTCACCCTTCTGGCTTTGCCCTGGACTCGGTCCCCCCCCCCCCACCCGCCACCCACACGGGAAGTGTTATGATGACTCGGGGTTTGGCCGGCCGAACCCCAGCTAATGTCCACTCACAGTGGTGGTCTGCTTTCATATTACCGCTGGTTCGTTGTGCTGTTCAAAGTACCGTGATATCATCTCATGTCCGCGTATAGAGGTGATAGCACATTACCCAAACACACCATGAAGTTGGAACAAGATTGCACGCAGAATCACGCATCAGAAAACCCTTTCAGTGTCATTCTCTGTCTAAAATTATCGCCACCATGTGTTACCCACGGCCCATCTAGCCAAAATCACGACGATCATGAGCTCTGCCGCGTAGCTCTTCTGCGTAATGTGGCCTGCGTACCGCGCTAATTCGCCGTAAAGTGAGCCAATCTGCTCTCTCGGCGCTGCGGGCGAGATCTGGTCGGTAGCCCGTTAGTCGAGTGTGTCACGTTTGAAGCGCCTGTCATCTGCCGTCCTGCCACGATGACAGCTGCTGCAGTGATTTCTGTCATCTCCTGTCCTATCCCTGACATTAGTTGACACCTGTTGTTCATTTTCTGTCATCTTCTGTCCTAGTCGAGTGGGCAGAACGGAGAAACGCTCACAAAGAGCAGCAGCTTGGGGGACCAGTGTGCTATGCAATAAAAACGGTGTCAGAATATTTCCTTTTTCTGATGCTCCAGGAATATTTACTGGCCCTCACCTATGCTCCAATCTTTGTCCACAATGTCCAATCATCCTTTCCTCGTGTTCAGCCAGAACTGAGGCAATGAGGTCATTTTCTGTTACACACAGCGATTCCAGTGACACTGTGCCGGTAAAATAGGACCGATCAGCGCTTCACCGCCGCCATCTTGCAACAGTCCTCGTATAATACCGAGGTGATATGTCAGCCTTTGTGTTCTGGGCAGCACAAATAGGCAGTGCTGCTGGCGAACAAAGCCAGCATCAGTCGCGTTATGGCTGCACTTCCGCTGCAGTTTTATTTACTGCGGTTAGAGCCGAGAGGCGAGGGTATGATATTCACTGCGATAATGGCAGCGAATGCTCCAATACACAGCACGGGGAATCACCAATAGACTGATAGAAACCATGCACAGCTTTGTGTGTCTACTAAATCTGGGACAAGTTCCGCAAAACGCCGTGTGAAACGACACTAAACTAGCTCACTTCCTGACCTTGGCAACACGCCTTCAACTAGCGCGTTCACGACTTCCGGGTCTAATAAAACACAAAATCATCGCTTCCGGTTTTGGGTAGACGATCTGTTATTTTTAGCTACGTCAGTTGGACGTCAGTTGCGCATCGCATCACGTGACACGTCATCCTCGCGTCAAGTCACACCTGTCGTCACCACCAGGGGGCGCTGGCGTCACGTGACGCCGCCGTCACGACCGCGGTCTGTCACGTGACGATGGAGAAACTGGGCTCGTGACGGTCGCCACGGGGAAACCTCACGGCACCACGGCGCACCGGCGGGGCACGTGGGGGCGGGGGGGGGGGGGGTGGCGGTGTGGGGTGGGGGTGGGGGCAAACTGGTGTAATGAGAGTTTGGAGTAGGTTGTAATTTGTTGTGTATGGGATGTTCATCCGAGGTTGGGTAAATGGAAGTCTCACAACAAATACTAGACAAATTAATATGTAGGTATCCACTTATCAATAAAAAGGATTATTTTTGACGATCATTTATGATCACGATCACATTCAAAACAAGCCTCTAACTTCAATTTTAGCTCCGTTTCTTGGATATTTTCTACACCTATGTGATGTCCTCGACGCGACATTTGTGTGACGTCACATGTTTCACGGCGTAACGCGTATCAGTGCGTCGGAATCGCCGCCACCGAGACAAACAAGCCGAAACACGCGGGAACAATGTAGCTAATTTCGCACCAAGGCGCTTTAAAGACCGGAGAGCCTAGGCTGTATAAGGTCTCGTTAAACGTGAAAACCAGACACCCGGAATAGCTACAAGAGTGACTGATCAAAGAAGTGGCCTAGAATTCATCCAAGTTGTGTTTTTGGGTTTAGTAGAGCAAAGGGAAAGCTATGTAGTAGAAAGTAAGGGAAAGATGGGGGAGAGCCGCGGGCAATACCTGAGTTTATGTGAGCCATACAGCGAAACGGATGCAGTAAATAGTCGAAAACTGGTAGCAAATTCCCAATATTCTATCTGCGCGTGTCTTTCCCTGCTTCACACTACAAATCCCGGCCCAATAAACGTCCCATTTATCTGGATTAGCAGAGGCATTGACCCAATGGTTCACCAAACACAATACCATTACCCGGGACGGACGCACAAAGCCTTGCCTTTCCATGGACCCAGCCCCGACCAGCGCTATCTCAATGCTGTGCACTGTCCTGGGCTCTGGTGGCCCCAAAGTCTCCTAGAAATACTCCCAGCCCGTAAATTCCTCGACAGAACCAGAATTCGGTGTCGCTTTCTCGTTCTCTTCTGTGGCCCAACGAACATGAAATAGCAATATGCAAACCATGAAAGCATTGCACTTATATCAGAGAAACTAACAAACAGATACAGACTCATCAACAGTTTTATCTCCAACAGCGCCTCCAACTGATAGGATCAGCGGATCAGCAAGTAGCAACCGCACCTATCTGAGCTGCCTCTCGAGCTGATATGGTCAGCAGGTCAGCAGCTCTTCCCCCAACCGGCCACGGACCGATACGGGCCGCTGACCCAGGCCCGGGCGGTATCACATAGCTGATCAGTTGACCCGGTCAGCGGCTTAGGCAGCTTATGGCTGGCTGAAGAGGGAGGAACGGCCGGCAAGGGGCACTGTTTAAAAGGCAATGTCAGTTGTAAAAGCCCTCAACCTGAGATTGTTTGGCTATTACTTTTAGTCGCAACTTGTGCTCTTTCAAATTATCAATTAATCATCATCATCATCACATGTAAATTCATTCAACAAAGACCCAGTCCTAAACGTGCAATGCACTGCATTTTTTTCGCACAACCGTCTATGCATCCATCTTAAAAAAGTACAGTCTCACATCCCATTCAATACCCACTGCACCTGCAAGGCCGTATAAGAGAGGTAGAATCATCCCGCAATTTCCAATGGACCGGTCGCTAAGCATTAGCGTGACGTCACTGGTGGAGACCGCGCGGCGCCCGGCTCCAAGCCGTACGTCGGGTACATTTGGCACTTTATCGCTGTTATTACTGAACGTAACGACAACTAATGAGTAATGACTCTTAATAACTTTTTACCCACCTATTTCCTTGTCGATACATTGCCGACCCGAGCCCCAGGGTTGACAATCTTGGGGTATGGATTGGGTCGGATGGGCGACCTCGCGACGGGGGTAGGAACGATTGCAATTGTTGTGTCCCGCACCGCCGATTGCATTCTCTATCTGCACCCGGAGGGGGGGAGGGGGTTAGGGGGCACGTGCCCCCATCGGATCAGGGGGCCTCTCGGGCCCGACGGGCCCTGCGACGCCAATTGGTGGCTGAGGGTCCACGCTGGCATTTTCGACTCAGAAGGGCCCCA